CCTAAACCCTGAACCCCAAACCGTTTGGGTCCAGTGTACTTAGCTGCGGCACTCGGACCTTGACCTCCTGACACCCAGCCCAGGACTCGAGCGGCTACGGCGCCGCTTCATCGTCGTCGGCCTTCTTGCCGGAAGCGGTCAAGGGTGATGTAGATGCTACCGACATCAACGTCGGAAGAAATGTAGATGCTACCGACATCAACGTCGGAAGAAAGCAATAGTATATATGAGCCCGAGATGCCAAAGATGGCACATCGGCGGCACAGTAGGTTTGCCGACGGGTCCACGCACCACTCAGTGCCTTCCTAAACTCCTAAAGCGGTAGTTCCATGCAAGGAGTGTCCGAATGGACCCTGATTATATCATCTAGGTTCCTGAGTAGTACCCTTTTGCCCTTTTTATTGTATGGTTCCCTTATTAAAACTGAATCACAGGAGAAAGGGTACCCTGATTGTTAAGCGGTCACTCAGGAACCTAGTCATTGTAATTCGAAGACTTGCATTGCTTGAACTTATTTGTTTGGGAGCCTGGGGAAGTTCAAGCCTGGCGGTGTGCTAGTTCTTCGATAGCCAATAGGAGAACTTTAAACTTTTTGGCCTTATCTATTAGGTCTGTCCTAAAAAGTTTGAACTTTTTTGGGCCTGGTTGTTGAAGAAGAGAGTAGTTCAAGTCACGGGATACGTAGGGTAGCAGCTGGGACCTGAAATCCTGAACTGTGAGACGACGACGACATCAACAGCCGCTGCTGCAGCTACAACAACAACAACAGCTACTACGACTACTACTACTACTACTGCTGCTGCTGCTGCTGCTGCTGCTGCTGCTGCTGCTGCTACTTCTACTACTATTTCTACTACTGCTGCTACTGCTACTGCCACTGCCACTGCCACTGCCACTGCCACTGCCACTGCCACCACTGCTACTACTACTACTACTACTACTACTACTACTACTAAACTACTACTTCTACTACTACTCCTACTGCTACTGCTACTGCTACTGCTACTGCCACTGCTACTGCTACTGCTACTGCTACTGCCACTGCTGCTACTACTACTACTACTACTACTACTACTACTACTGCTACTGCTGCTACTACTACTGCTACTACTACTACTACTACCACCACTACTACTACGACGTCGACTACGACTACGATGACGACTTCGATTACTGCATCCACTACTTCTACTGCCGCACTACTGCTAATGAATGCTGCTACTGCTACTAGTCCTGCCACTCCTACTCCGATTCCTACTGCGACTCCGAACTACTCCGGCCCCGACTTCTACTGTTGCTACTGTCGACTGCTTCTACTTCTGTTTCTGCTACTGGTTTTCCTAGTTCCAGTATCACTACTACCACTGCTGCTTACTACAGCTAGTATTTCGGGAGGAGAAGATGGCGCGGCAGCACTACCGTACCATTGGAAACCTCACTGACCTTCGGCAACGTCAGGCGATAATCATGAAAGCAGGGTTTGGGGCTTTGGGTTTGGGATTTAGGGTCTGATGTTTGGGGCTCAGCGTTTAGGGCCCGGGGTTTAGGGTTTAACCTTTTGGAAGCCTCAAACTTCATTCATGTCACTCCGCCAAGATCGGGCTGACAGCCCTCCCCCGCACGCAGTTGTAACATCCAGTCGATTAGTCGGCCGGTTGCATGACTGGGTGATTGACGGCCTTTTCTCATGTCCGTTTCCGATGCGTGCTGGGGGCCGTTTCGCATTGGCGCAAGGGGAGGGAGTATGTGCGTATGGTTCAATGCATTGGAAAACGGTACCAGCGATGAGCGCAGCTTCAACATCGACGTTTTTTTCTGTATAGCCTGCGACAAAAAAGAGTTCCACTCTGCAGAACCACTTCGAGGTCCATCGGTAGTTAAATGTCTGGCTATAAGTAGTGGAGCGACAGTGAAAACCATAGTCGGGGGCATGTAAACCCACTCATGACTACCCCCCCTGAACCTAAACCCTGAACCCTAAACTCTAAACCCTAAACCCCAAAATGGAGCCTCCAAGCATGGCTTCCCGAAGCTCCGGCTCCGTATGGTCTAGCGGTTTAAGGTGTAGGGTTTAGGGTTCAGGGGCGAGCCTCAAAGGAGGTTCATGGGAAGTTAGCGGTAGCCATAAGGGGGTTGTGAGTCCCCTACTACGGGTTGCAACACGTGATACTGATCGAAACCCTAAGCCCGTAAGTAAAGCTCTACTCAGAGTTTCAGGCTTCTGGAGTACGGAACCCGGGAAGATTAGAGGTTTAGGATTTATAGGGTTTAGGGGTTTAGGGTTTAGGGGTTTAGGTTTTAGCCCTGTAAGGGAGTTACTTGGAGGTTCATGCGTAGATATGAGTGGGGTTAAAAGTCGCGTGATATGGGTTCTAACTAGACTTACCCTACTTATCGCTACCCATGGACCTCCAAGTACGGCTTGTAGAGATTAGGGTTCAGGGCTTTAGGGGTTGAGGGTTGAGGGCTAAGCACCTGCAAGTTTGAAGGTTTTGAGAGTACAACTTGAGATCCCTTGTACACTACCCCTCAACCCTAAATCCTAGTCTTGTTAGAGCTTCATTCGGTGTAGGAGCATAAAGGGGTGTTTTCAGTGATGCTGCTTTGCATGGTTTGGTTTAGGGGTTTAGGGTTTCGAGTTTCGGTTGTTTTGGGGTTTAGAGTTTTGGGTTTCGGGTCTTTTGAACCTGGGAGTCTGTTTCGCTTTGGTTTGTGAGGAGGCGTGTCTATTCCGCTTTGCTTGTCGTTCTGCAGCAGGGTCAGTATTGCGACCTCCTCACCGTCCACCCAAAGCCCGGAACCCCAAATTCCAAAATCCTGAAAACCCTCAACCCTAACCCTAAACCCTAAACCCCTAAACCCCTAAACCCAAAGCCATACACCCTAAACCCCTGAACCCCTAAACCCCTAAACCCTAAACCCTAAACCCTAAACCCCTAAACCCCTAAACCCCTAAACCCAAATCCCCTCAAAACCCTAAAAACCCAAACCCTCGACTCTAAGTTTTCTATAAGCTAGACCTTAATATCCCCACCAAAGAAAACCCAAGTCTGAACGACTCCAAATCCGCGGAGTCAGGGAAGATGCCTGAACATACTGTCAGCCTAAACCCTAAACCCTAAACCCTAAACCCTAAACCCTAAACCCTAAACCCTAAACCTTTAGGGTATTCTCCTTAGGGCAGTTGCCTGACCTCTATACAACTCAGGGTCTTCTCCGTAGTTAGGGACTCTGCGGCCCTTAAACCCGAAACCCCCGAGCATCTCGATGCTCAACACGGGCCCCCAGATTCGTTTCCCGGCCATCAGCAGATTGTTGGGGGGCCATGAATAAGCCCTAAACTATTAAATTGGCAGTTCTCTAAATTGGGGGCGTCTTTTGGGGTCCTTTCTATAAGGGTGCCGTACTGTTTGGGGGACCTGAACCAGGGACCCTAATTTAGAGAACTACCCAAATCCTGAATCCCTTAACCCTGAACCCCTAAAACCTCGAACATCTCAAGCTCCCAAGCCCTTTCGGGTTCAGGATTTAGGGTTCCATTTCTAGGATGTGAGTGAGTGAGTTACATTTCTAGGATGATTTGTGTAACCACGGGCTAATTAAACCCTAAACTATCATGGCCCGAACCCACAAGAACCCCTTAGAAAAACCCGAGCCAGAGCGCAAAAAGGAAAGCCTCGAGCCAGAGTAGTCCCTAAACCCTAAACCCTAAACCCCTAAACCCTAAACCCTATCATTACCTGAACCCCATGGCCGGTCTAGTTCTGTGGTTCCTTGTCATGATTTCTTTGTTCCTGTCCTTCGACACGTAGGGTCACCGACGG